AATGATCAATAATCATCAATTAGCTTATTATTACTTATTAGGGTAAAAATATAAAAATTAATTCCATTAATTATTAGTGATACATTTATGTTGACTAATAATTAATCATCATCAAGGTTTGGGACTTAGAGCATTTGCATACTTTTTTATTTATTGTAAAATGTAGCAGAATGCAAAATAAATTCATTTCTCAATGCCGTGATACCAAATCTAAAATTTGAATGTGCATATTTTTGCATATTTCATACATTTTGTCGGAAACTGCTTATTTTTACAGTATTGTGCTTAATTTGCATATTTTGGAAAAATTTTCAAAATTTCACCTAATCTATAAAAGAAAAATAGTAATGCAGCTTGCTGTAATAGTAATGCAGTCTTATGTACCTATTTGCTGTGTACAACTTATAACTCCTTATAATTTTTTGTTTGAAAATATAATTATGGCCTGATTGGCAGTATTGTTACATATTATATACTATGTTGTTACATGAGCAATACGATAATTTTAATATATTGCGCTTATTAAACATTCTTTGAAACTAAAGATATTTCCGATAAATGTAAAATTATTTATTTATTGATTTAAACGAAAAATATAATTTTTAATTTTTCCCATCGTTATATAGTTGACAAATAAAATTCAAAAAACTTTTAAATTTAAGAAACAAATTAACAATCAGTTGATTTTTTTTAATTTATTAATATTAAGTACACTAATTGTAATTAATAAAATAAATTAAAAGAAATTAAATTATTAAATGCATATTTAGAGTTTTTAAGCGCACGTTTTAGCGCTTATTATTGTGTTTTTAAGTGATGAAGACCCGAACCATAATCATCATACATTATACTTGACTTAGAGTAGTCATTCATCTTGTTTAAAATGGGACACATTTTATCCCTAGTGCAAAAAACTTGTACTTAAAAGAAATACAAAACTATATATTTATAGTTTTATATTGAAACCAAAATAAAAATAAAATATTTTTCTTATAATGAGTGTTGAGCGCTTACACACAATTTTCTCAGCCATAAGCATTGAGCTTTTAGATAATACATATATTTGTAAATTGAACTTTATCTCTCACCCTTCCTGTTGCACTTTATCAATGATATTGATACTAAGACTTGATGTTTTTCAATATAAAAGTTGTGTTATAAAAATATTGTTACCTTATAAAAAATGAATCTTATTTGATATTCAAATAAAAAGTTATTGATTTTGTTATAATAAATCTTTAAAAAAACTTTTTAAATTCAGTGCTTGCAAAATATTTGTAAATTAATTCCACTTATTTTATCTATTTGAAGTTTGTAAATATTATTTTTTAAATGTTAGACTAATATTATTTATTAGTGTATTAAAAAAATTGTGTTCATATTAATAATAATCAATTTATTTCAGGGTGTTCAAGAAGAAGTACGTAAAGTTAATAAAGTAGATGGACATCGAAGTAATTTATCAGAAAAAAATTCTTTAAATGATCTCAATCAAAGTCTAGGTGTTGACACTACTAGTTCGGGTGTTGTAATTGTATCTGGAGTAGCAAAGAAAAAAGATAATAACACCAGAGGTGAACTCATTGAGCAAAATCAAGATGCCTTGGAAGTATAATATAAATCAATTCTAAATAAATACATACTACATAATATTTCAAAAATTTCTAGTATTCATCCGAAGAAGAACAAGAAGATTTGAATGTAGCTGCAGCTAGTTTAGCTAATAAACAAAAAAAAGAATTACCAAAAATTGATCATGCTGAAATTAGCTATTTACCATTTAGAAAAAATTTTTATGTTGAAGTACCAGAAATCACACGCATGTCTTCTGAAGAAATTGAAAAATACAAAGAAGTAATATTTTAAAATAAATATATTTAATGATTAAATGTTTTCAACATATTATTTTCCAGGAATTAGAAGGTGTCCGCGTAAAAGGAAAAGGATGCCCTCGACCAATAAAAGTATGGGCTCATTGTGGTGTGAGCAAAAAGATTATGGATAATTTAAAAAAACATAATTATGAAAAGCCTACTCCAATACAGACACAAGCTATTCCTGCTATAATGGCGGGGCGTGATCTGATTGGTATTGCAAAAACTGGAAGTGGCAAGACTCTGGCCTTTTTGTTGCCAATGTTTAGGCACATTATGGATCAGCCTCCTTTAGATGATACTGATGGACCAATTGGTTAGTACTTGCATAATGATTAATTAGCTATATTTTATATTTGAATTATTTTTGCCTTACACTCAATTCTTTTGGTTTAAAATGTAGTGTATATTGTTAATTGTTATACAGAATATTTATTAAGGTTTTGAAAAATGTTATGTAACATTTTGCATAATTCTTACTAAACATTTAATTACAGTTTACCTTGTAGAACAATTTAAAAATATGTTTTATTATTTATTCATTTAGCTATTGTTATGGCACCTACAAGGGAACTGTGTATGCAGACTGGAAAAGAAGCACGCAAGTTTACAAAAAGCTTAGGTTTAAGAGTTGTATCAGTTTATGGTGGTACTGGAATATCTGAACAAATAGCAGAATTAAAACGTGGTGCAGAAATTATTGTATGTACACCTGGCCGAATGATTGATATGTTAGCTGCAAATAATGGTAAGACTGGAGATATATTTTCCAATCACTCAATTATTCAAATACATGACATAGATTATAAACTTCATAATAATTTTTTTTTTTATACATACATAGGTAGAGTTACCAATTTAAGACGAGTAACATATGTGGTATTAGATGAGGCTGATCGAATGTTTGACATGGGATTTGAACCTCAAGTAATGCGAGTAATAGATAATGTACGCCCAGATCGTCAAACTGTTATGTTCAGTGCTACATTCCCTCGTCAGATGGAAGCTTTAGCAAGACGGATACTACAAAAACCTGTTGAAGTTCAAGTATGTCTGTTTTACATAATAATTACTTATGTCGAAATGACAATTTAATTACATTTATAGATTGGAGGTAGAAGTGTTGTTGCCAAAGAAGTCGAACAGCATGTAGTTATTGTAGAAGAAGAACAGAAATTTATGAAGTTACTTGAAGTTTTAGGAGTCTATTATGAAAAAGGAAGCTGTATTGTGTTTGTGGATACTCATGAGAATGCAGATACACTTTTACAGAAATTGTTAAAAGCCTCCTATCCATGTATGTCATTACATGGTGCTATAGATCAATATGACAGAGATAGTACTATAGTTGATTTTAAAAGTGGTCAAATCAAATTGTTAGTTGCTACTTCTGTTGCTGCCAGAGGACTAGATGTTAAAGACTTGATATTGGTGGTTAATTATGATTGTCCCAATCATTATGAAGATTATGTTCACAGATGCGGGAGAACTGGAAGGTAATTACTAATTATATCAATTATATAATGAAATCGAAAATGTTTACTATTAGTTAAAATTAATAATAATGGTACTTTTAATTTGTGAACTAATTGATTTGAATTCTATTGTGAAATTAGAGCAGGTAATAAAGGATTTGCATACACGTTAGTTTCGCCTGACCAAGAAAGATTTGCTGGTGATTTAATTAGAGCTTTGGAAACATCTAATGTACCTGTACCAGAATCTTTGCGTACCATGTGGCTACGTTACCAAGCAAAACAAGCCGCAGTAAGTAGCATTCCTGTTATTTAGTGTATTATTGATTCTTTTAAACTTAAAAAATGCTTAACAAAATAACTGCCATGTGATCTCTGACCTTAAATGAATATGGTTTTATATTCAACAATTTTATGTTTTTGATTTTTTAAAGTTATTAGTCGTAATAACATTTTTATACCTAAATTTATAAGATTCTATTTTTAAATTACATATAATACGACCATCAAAGCAACAATCTTAAATTTAAATAAAAAACCAACATCCCAAGACATGGAGAATGTTATTTAAACATTTATTATAATTTTAGGAAGGAAAACAAGTTCATACAGGTGGTGGTTTTAGTGGAAAAGGATTTAAATTTGATGAAACGGAAGCTGTTATGGCTAATGAAAAGAAAAAATTGCAAAAAGCTGCTCTTGGTCTTCAAGATTCTGATGATGAAGATATAGAAGGGGATATTGATCAACAAATTGAAACAATGCTTGCTCCTAAGAGAATTGTAAAAGAAGTAAAAGCTAGTGCTATAGGACTTCCAAATCTTACTGGCTTAAGTAATTATTTTTATTATTTATTTCTAAACTTCACCATTTCAGGAAAATTAAGCATAAGTGTCAAAATACTTAAAGAGATTACTTTTATTCACATACAATTCTGTAATTTTAATTCATAATATATTTTTCAACTCATAAATAAATTAAATGTGTTTAGTGGAAGTAAATGGAACTCCTCAAGCATCAGAAAGACTTGAATTAGCCAAACGTTTAGCTTCACGTATTCATATTGCCAAAAACCTTGGACCAGATGCCAAAGGTGCATCACAGCAAACTGCAGAAGCTATATTAAAAGGGGGTCTTGCTAGTTCTCAACCAGTCATCACTGCTAAGACTGTTGCTGAACAATTAGCAGCTAAATTAAATACTCGACTGAATTATCAACCAAAAGATGATGATGGTGAGAGTGAATGTGGAGATAGTCCTGAAGCCGGGGTAGAAGAAATATTTAGAAAGTATGAAGAAGAATTAGAAATTAATGATTTTCCCCAGCAAGCTAGGTGGAGAGTTACTTCCAAGGTTAGTAAAGAAGTTATAAACAATATGTTAATGCAATTTTTTATACAATATGAACAATGTTATTTTAGGAGGCTTTAGCACAGATTTCAGAGTATTCAGAAGCAGGAATAACAGTCAGAGGAACATATTATCCACCACCTAAAAATCCTCCAGAAGGTGAACGTAAACTATTTTTAGCTATAGAAAGTACTGATGAATTAGCAGTTTCTAAAGCAAAAATAGAAATCACTCGTCTTATCAAGGAAGAATTATTGAAAATGCAAACTTCTGCACACCATATAGTTAATAAAGCTAGATATAAAGTCTTGTAATTGCTATTGTATTTATGTTTTATTAGTAAAGTACAATATTTAATTTTTATTCACATGGTTTTAATATAAAACTTGAGTCTTATTCAGTTGCTTTAGTTTCTTCATATGCTGAAATTGCTTTCTATACATAAAAAAAAATTAATATTATTATTAGTAAAGAATGCCACAGCAAAATAATTAAATGTATAACATACATTGAATGTTTTTTTCACATGATTTAAGATTTGATTAAGCTCTTGAAAACCACGTTTGAAAATATCTTCTACGGTGTGGCCATTTTTTACTTTTAACCGTAAATAAATTTTATTTTCTGACGGATGCCTTATGGAATATGCACAAAAATCTGTTTCAGGGAAACTTTCTAAAACATAAGTTAATAGAGAACCCAGTGTATGTCCTTCATCTTCAAAAACAAATGTTCTATCTAATTCGGAAGGTCCCGTAATTACATCTTCTTCTAATAATTCCTAAAAAATATAAGTTTACTGTAAGATAATTGTGTATTGATAAATAATTTTATAAATCATGTATATAGTATATTATTAGGGTCTTACTAAAGTTTCGGCTACAAAAAGTGTTCGGAGATTAACTATCACTATGGGTGGTCCCCGCATGTGCAACCAATGCACAGGCTCGTTTAGAGATATTTTGGGGCCAGAGCTGAATCATGCAAGGAGCCCTTTTGTTTATTTAAATTTTATTTCAGAATATAAAATCAAAGGAAATACTTTTCACAAAAGTGTGCTGATAGCTCTTAGTCTGTAGTCTATAGTTTTTACACTTGCCTAAGGTGGCTCATTTATTTTTGCATACTCTTTGCGAGATTCCACTCAGACCTTCAAACTATGTCACCTCGTAAGTCCCTTAACTATATAAAACTATGGTTAATGATAACACTAATAAAAATTAAATTAAAAAAACCGCAACAAAGAGGAAATTGAATGTTCCTATAAAAAGTGGAAGGATTTTTTTGTTAATGAACATTAGATAGAAATCCAGGAAAATTATGAAAATAAATGCATTAAGGATTGTACATTTAAAACAAGGATTCTTATAAATAATTTGTACTGTACAACATCATTTTTTAATTGACATTTTAAGTTCAAATTTTGATGAAATAAGATATTTAAACAAAGGATAACGATTTTAGTTATTAGGTTGTGATTTAAAAGTTATTTTTGGGTACTTGAAACTATTTTATTATTAGTAGTAGTAAACTTTCTATATTATTTTATACACACAATTATATTTTTACATTTTTTCTGCAAAATTTAATGTAACCTCATGAAGTAGGAACTAAAGCATAAAATGGTAAAATAAATTACTACATCACGATATCATAAAATATACTTAAGAATATTACAGGTCAACAGACTGATCGGAATCGTTTTTATATATAATAATTGAATTCAAATTTAACACATCCATTACAATGACTTCTCTGGACACAAGGAAGTGTATAGCAGAACGTTATTCAATTACCCGCTTTTTTATAATTTTAAATTAACTTAAGATAAACTTTAAATAAATAAAGTATAAAATTATCTTCTTACTTGAAATTGCATGCATATAATTTAATAACTACATAAGGTAGGTTGGGCCCCAAACTAAAATTCTGCCTGTGCCTTTTAGGGGCCAGACCGACACTGTCTAGCATCTTTATATTCTTCTGTTTAGATATTATTATATTCAAAGTTCATAATCAGTTAACATGAAAAAAATATATTACTTTCATACATTTTAGGTTTTAATCAACCAATATTATGAAATAAATTTACTTCTAATAAACAAGTATTTTCTAAAATAAATAAATATTTTGTAATATTTAAATTTAAAATACCAAAGTAATTTGCTAGACAGGCAAAAAGTGACCATGCAAAACAAGTCAGCAAATGAAATAATTATGGAGTAATACAAATTTCAAATTGATCTTAAAAATATTCACATAGTCACTTTTTTCCTGACAACGACGGATAACGTAGGTAGATTTGTGCAACAACTTACCGCCATTAAATGAAATTCATACACTACTTAAAAAGTAAAAATATATAGGTAGACCGTAGACGGTTGAACCCGAAGGCAATATGGCTTGGAAAATGGAAATATGGAATATCAGACTGAAGTATTACTGAGTACTGACTACTGACTACTGTTGATCACTCTGTTGATATCTTTGTCCGTGCCGTACTATCTTAAATCGTGGTCCGTGCTAACAACTTACTGCCGATGTTGATGTGATAAGTCTGATACCAGTATCACAGAAAAGGCAATTTTTTTCTTATCAAAAAAGTAATATTTATAATACAGATAAAAAGAGATCGTGCAGAAATAGCAGAATAAGTAATAACATCAATTTATAGCACAGATAATTGCTAACTGAACGTTTATTTTTCTCTTTGTAGTTAGTCTATATAGTCTGGAATTTAAGTATTATGACAAAGTGTATTTTTTCATTGTTATACATATTATTATTGTATAACTAATTTTAAAATTAAAATTCTATGAAAAATACAAACTAAAATTATATGAATACATGTATGAAAAATACACAATAATATTAGATGAATATACATCGGTAATATTTGTACATAAGTATAAGATGTATTATTTTCAACAAAATAAGTGGAGGGATGCCATTCCACCGTATTACAACCCTACTTGTACCACTGACTTGTCCCTGAAAAGTTCACCGGGACCTTCAGTACTTTGTTATACGCATAATATCCGTTTAGTTTACTCTCCACATATGCTCTGCCAAATATGAATCGAGAAAATTTCTTTTGATCTCTCTTTGTTTCTTGTTCCTCTATTTAATACTTCCTCATATCTTCTCAATATTCTGTGTGTGTCATGTGATCCACTTATACTTTATAGGACCCACAAAATTATATTTGTCCTCAATTATACCAACCTTTTATCCTTGTATCATTAATTTAACTGTAAGGATTTTACCAATCATTCTTAATACATCCAGTAAGTGAATTTCATACTTATACATACCGTTTATAGTTTTGTACCTTTTTTTATGTGAAGAATACATTTTATAAAAAATTAATAGAACATCGAAAATATTTGAAATATAAGTGGTGGGCACTGGGCAGCAACTAAACCTAGAGACTGGCGAGTAAATATTTTCTTGGAGGGTTTCAACTAAACCAGTTCCTTTGTAGATGCACATTAAATACTTAATACCAAAGTTTCAACTTTTGGGACTTATTGAGGGTGGTTTCTTTTTTTTGATCCAGTTGGTACTTTTGAGAGGTCATATCAGATATTAGGGAGGTTTTTTCTGTGAATCGAGACGAGACCACTTTGAGGGAGCGTGCATCTTCAAACTCCTAGCACATAGAATAAAGAAGATATTAGGTAGGTACCCTATGACCCATGGCTATTGTACTTACCTAGTAGCTATAGGTACTCATGGAAATTAATGATAGTTAAATTGAGTACCTAGGTGCAAATATGAAATAGATATGGTTATACTTATAGTTATAAGCTTTTAAATAGTTATTATCATGCACCTGTTTCCATTGAAATCTATAACCTAAAGTATTATGAAATCAAACATTTAAATGTTTGCTTCCAAACCTAATTTTTCAAAACACCGTTGCTACTTATACCATAGACCATAATTATTTTATCTCACTTCTTACCAGTTAAAATGTCTGTAGTCTATAAAGTAGGCATGAAGCAGAATGCCCAGGTTCTTTGATGGTGGCGTGAAGCCGTGAAGTGGATTTTTTCCGACACCCCCACCATTATTTCTTAATATTAAGTTAAAATATATGACACTTGGCTATATATAGTTCTCAATATCGTCAATATTTTTATTGCTTTCAATAAATATTTTCATAGGTACCTAGTATATTTATAAACATTTCTTTTTAAATATTTTTTTTAATAAGCCTTTTGCATTACAATGATAGCTCATCAATAGTTATTGCAGACTGCAGTATATATTAAAACAAAATTACACCATTATAATTTACAAAGCTAAACGAGGAAGCCAATATAGATGGTATTTTTTATGAATAGCAAGTTGCGAATTTCAGTTAAGGAATGGAGAAGAGACAATCAAGATTTTCAAGGAAGAATTTGGAGTGTATCGATACGTATCGAGGCAATTTTGAGCGTTCAAGAAGTTACACGTGCAGTATACAAGCGATACGTACCGACTCGTATCGGACTCGGACTTCGATACGAGGTGGTACGTTTCGATACGTATCGAATTTTTCTTCTTGAAAATCTTGACTGGGTATAGATATAGATATTCAGGGATTTTAATGAGTTAAACAAAGTTACGCGTTTAGTGTGCAAGGTAAGGGCTTTCTAAAAGAATGTGGGAATTGTCGCAGGGTTTTCTTCTTTTTTTTCTAGTTTTTTCTAGTTTTTGACACAAGAGGTACGACTGTACTACACCCGTATTTATATCTACTTATTCTCGTTATTGTAAAATATTAGATTCTCACTTCTCACTTCTCACTTCTGAGTAAACAATGAGTGTAGGTACAAGGTACCTATTAATTTTATAATGACGTTTCTTTTTTTCGCCTGGTAACTATTTACCTTTTGAGACAGTAAAAATGGTTCGATTTTTTTCAACAGTAATCTTCTCTGGTAGAAAAGTGAACATAATGAGTTTTGAACTTTATGTATATTTTTTTTTTCATCGTAATTTTTACTGAATGTTTATTTTAGCAATTTCTATTCACCATACATTTGAAATATTGTGATTATTTTTTAGCTAGGTATTTATAGCCTTATAGGCATAACAAATTTAATTGTATTAGTTTTTTTTAAATTACCTATTGTCGATAAAATTATTTTGCTCAGTCAAAAAACTTAAAATATAATATAAGTGCCTTATTAGTTGTTGTTACTAGAAATTAAAAAATAACCTGAGGGTAAATCCACTATCATTTTTGACGAGTGTCTAGAGTTAAAATTATTTCAAATTCATTAATTTTTCTATGTTTATCTAAGATTTAAGATTATTGTAAGAAATTCTCCTTAATTTTTACAACATTTAACAATTTTCCCCACATGCATGCAAGTCAGCAAGGATATTGCATTAATGTAGTATACTATATAGTAATAGTTTTAGAGCAAAGTGAGAAAATAAATTGTCGAGTCAGCAAATGTATAGATCCCCCCCCCCCCCATGAGTTGCTGTTCAAAACAGCAATGAGAATAACCACTTATAATGGAATAACAATTTGAAAAAAATATTAAGTCAAGTAATTTATCTCTTTTTGATTATGTCAAACATAATATAGTGATGGAATGAAAACTGATATGTCACATTGATGACATTATCTTCAGTTAACATATACACAATAACTCACAAATTTACATTTTATAGTTTATTTTACAAAAATTATTCAAAACGGTTTAGACTAAACTTTACTGTTTTTTATTTGTAAAGCATTAGCTAACATAAATTTGTTGAATTTTTCTGTGGATGAAATTGATTTTTGTCCATTCTGAATAACTGATTTTATAATATTATTTTATCAGCCCAACAACATAAAACTAGACCGTTAAAAATGTACAATAATTAATAACACATTACATGTAAGACGTTTGAAGTAGATACTAAAAATTTTCATTTCTTGTTTGTGCGTTAAGTTGTATATCATTACATAATTGCTTTTTTTGTATCTACTTAACTCTGAAATGTCACAATGCCGATGTTCTAATCAATATTATTCACCAATAAGTAATAACTAATATGCTACTAAGAGTGGTGAGAAATTTTCAGAATTTTAATTTTACAGTTAACACCTGTATAGAAATATTAAATCCTGTAACTTTAGAATTATGAATATCTATGAGATAACTACTGAAAAATTACAGTAGAAAAAGAGTCTATAACATAAGACAACTATGGGGTGATTGGAAGGGGGGGGGGCAAGTATCACTTTTGTCCTCCCTTGATTATCTTTGTGCATTTGCATAGATTTATTTTACAGTTAGTAACTATATTATTTAAAATCAAATGTAATGATTTATTTTTAAACAATTCCTTTTCAATTGAGACAGGTTATAAGCTAATTCACATTCTTGATAATTGGTTTGTATGGTAAAGTAAAAATATTAAATTAGAACATAAATGTAATAATGTAATTTTTGTTTAAATTAATTTAGTTTAATATACTATATTTATTTATTTGAAATACAATAAGAAAGAACATTAACTAAAATTTATTAATGATGGAAATCACTTTCATTAAAACATGTTATAATTGAAAAAAAAAATAAGTATACAATTCGATTAAACTGATGTTTACTATGAAAAAAGAAATATAGTAAATAAATGTAATATAAATACATTTAAAACAATGACTAGAAACCAAACATTTTAATAATTTATAAGTACATATCTGAACTGCTACAATAAAAGGAACCAATAAATAGAGTAGTATTATGATAATGGAATGCTTAAAAATATAACACACTTGTGTATTAATGTTTAAACTATATCATAATCTTTTTTTTTCTTCTTAATATATAGTTTTATATACTAACAACCTATTGTTTTTCTTTACGTTCGTTCATATCAATAATAGACAAATTTATACTAGCCACATAACAATGAATTAATGATATTAATGTTTTAACAAACATTATTGGACTTGAAAACCAGCACAATAACTTAAATAAGCCATGACCTGCGACTAAAAAAATAAAATCATATCATTACAATCTTTACTATTTATGTTTTATTTTTATTAGTACTTACTTATTGGCCCTGTAATAAAATGACACAGATATAATGATGCAAAAAATAGTTCATTTCCTGCACACATAAAAAACAGTACTGGTTTCGATGTATAATACCATTTCATTATCGGATTTCCAGACATATCTACAAACTTATGGCTGGTTTTACCTTGCAAAATTGATCTATTAAGAACAAATTAAATTAATAATAACCATGAAAATTCACTTATAATTGTACATGAATTAGGACTTACGAGTGCAAATATATCCAGTGACAAGCAATATCAATGATACAGCTAAGTTGGAACAAAAACATATATTTTGGATAAAAATTAGACAATGCAATACATAAGCTCATTGTTCCACAACGGTCAGTTAGTTGATCTAGTATAGCCCCAAACTTAGTACCTAAGAAAATACAAATTTACATCATAAGACACATTTAGGATTATATAGTACATTATAATACAAAATATATAATTTTATAGACTAATAACTAAGGAAAATACAAGGAAAATACATTTCTTACATTTTGAACCTATCAATAATTACAAACAGTTATTAGTAACAGTAGACAAACTATAAGCAGAGTGTATATAAGTTATAAAACTTCTATGGTATTCTTACTTTGGTTAAATGCTCGAGCTGCATGACCATCAAAGGCATCCAATAACGCACTTATCACATAACAACTGCATGCAACTTTGTAATTGGTTGGCATAAAGTAAATTGAAATGACCGCTAGAATTATTCTGGCATATCCTATAGAATCAAGACAAAACCAAATAAATCTATTAATTGTTTGTCCTTAATTTTAATTTCAATCCTAAGTGAAGTAGGTACTTAGTATATTACTTTGTTAATAATATATAAATATACATTTATTAGCTACTATTTATAACTAAAAAATACTAGGTACCTTCTGTGAATTATTTAAAAATCCATTAACAGGTACCTACTTGAAAATACATTATTTTTTTTTGTTGAAAGAATTATTTTTCGAGTAGATAAAATTTCATAGTTATTATTTAATATGTTATTATAAAATATGAAATCTATGGAATTTATAGATAAGTACAACACAGTCCGCCTACTGTGTTGGTGAGTTGGCATTAAAATTACTTGTTAGTTAATATTGATTCTATGTAAACAATAATCCATAATAACTTACCAATTAGATTTGGCACAAACAAAAAAATATTTTCTTGTTTACCCATATTAAACTGAATGTATACAGTACAATATTGTCAAAAGTATTAAAACAATTATAAATATTACAAATTTAAACTTAAATAGATGAAAAACTCTTAATTAGATAGTTAGATGTAGGTAGCAACTAGCAATGATGTGTTATTGTAAAGGCTAATAATTTAATTAAATCGTAATAAGTAGGTACAATATTGAACTACAATACGCAATGGCAAAACACTACAACACGCAAGAGATATTGGCGTATTGCAACTTGCAAGAGCTACACTACTGCCGTCTGCTGGCTGATTGTTGATGAGTACTGCAGTACAGAATTACTGATCGCTGATGAGCGATGGCCGATGAGCGGGTACTTCAGTACTTATACAACTTCAAACTTGACCGAGACGCCGAATATCGACGAATAGAAGTACACAAATTATAGTATATACATAATATGTGATAACGTAACATGATAAATAATAATATCAACATATTGATAACATGGAACACGAATTACATGACAAAATGTTATATTATTTATTACTATATTCAACTTTGTTATGATGAGTTATGTTATAAAAGTAGCATGGTTATAATGTATAATATCTTTCATTTTAGTTAATTGTAGTAATTGTACCAAATGGTAAATACCATGACTACCCTCGCAGTCCACAGATATTATATTGATGTTATTGTATGTATCTATCATATTCTATGGGTCACACACGCATTTTGACTGTGTACCTAGAATAATATCTATTTGTAGTAAACTTGATACAAATATACAATACTAGACTAAGTATCAATTATCTAATGGAAAAATTATTTAGTATCCATTTTATCTACTTATGAAGTTTTAAGTTATATTTAACAATGAATTGCCCTGTCGACTGTGACCAAGCGGCATTTCTTGCACAACTGCAGCCCACGGGCCAATAAATCGGCTCGAGAAATGTTGAAGGTGCAGCACATGATCCTTCTACTGCACCCGTGCGCACGTTTATATGAGCAATGAGCATCGAAAAGTAAGTGAATGCCTATGAGTGTACGCTTAATCACTTTTCTATGGTGTATACGAGTAAGTTAAGACAGTTAGACAGTAGATCATTTCGGTTTTTGAGAGGGGGAGAATTTAAACCAGGCAACCGGGCCCATGATAAAACTAAAACAAAAACTGCTCGCCAACAATTACGTTATATTACAATCACAATTAAACTTTTATCTCAGTACAATAATAGATTTCTTCTAATGTATAAAATTGAAACTTCAAACAATGGCCAATCCTAACGAGTAAATATACTATATCTACAACCATTGGCGTACAAATGGGGGGGAGGGGTTGGGATAAATCTCCCTCCAAGGACGAAAAAAAATGTTTTGAAATGGTTATGGATTAAAAAATATACATGTCATGAAAATTGTAACGTGTGTATAAAATACAGCATTTGTCAAAATACTCTTTCTTTTCAAAAGCTCTCCTCGATACATCATTACCTACCATATATCTACGACTGTACTCCGATAAACATATGTCGGTACATAATTTAATCCTCTCCCCCATAAGGAAATTGAATGTAGGCCACAGCCCACAGACTATAATTCTTTTATTATCTAGAATATGCATAAAGTAGAAACACAAAATAAGCCGATTCCCTATAACTATGTACGTATTGCCTACCACGAGTCACGAATCATGGTAAAATTTTATTTGGAAATGGCATGAATCATGTTTGCGGGTTTGGGGCCCAAAACTAGATAGATAGAGCCCATATATACTCGGCCCGATAGCGGTCCACCAATGATAAGGAGGTGCATATGTCTGAATCTATGCCTGATAGATCCCCCTTCCCAGAGCTTTTAGATTCTGAGTGGAGCAATGGATGCATTTTATTACATTGATGTGTTTTTTAATTTATTTTTTTGTTAATTCTACTAATAGGTAGCAGCGATACTCAACCTGCGGCCCGCGGGCAGCATGCGGCCCTCCAACGATTTATATGTGGCCCGAACAGAACTCATTGAATTGATAAAAAAATATAAGTTTCAAAACTAATATTATTATAAATCTAATCTCATTTCTGAAACAAATAATATAATAATTTTAAATCATTTAGCTGCCTTATCGAATGAATTTAAAAGAAGATTTCAGGATTTAAGAGCTGTACAGAATTGCTTTTTACTTATAGAAAATCCTTGGCACAATTTTTTCAAAAATGAAATATGCAAAGAATGTGTACAGAAATCGGCTTACTGATTTACATCTTGACGACTTGTTAAGAGTAGCATGCAGCAACTACAAACCAGATATATCCAAAATAGTGAAAAAAACTATCTCAATTTCAAAATTCACACTAATTAAATATAAATATTTAATAAGTGTAAATTTTATTAAGTTTATTAAGAATAAATATTTAATTTAATTTTTTTTATACTACATTTTCAAATGTTATACAATATACACAATATATAAATTTATTTTTAGTTTTTTTTTGAATTTCCGTTCCATTAATTTCAACTTGCGGCCCGCGTAATATTTTTAAATATTTTATGTGGCTCAAATAAAAAAAAGGTTGAGTCTTGAGTATGGCTGTACTAGTATATACTAGTTTATGTAATGTATCAAACTACCAACCGTAGGTCCATTCACTTTACTTTTTATAAAAAAAACCGGCCAAGTGCGAGTCGGACTCGCGCACGAAGGGTTCCGTACCATTATCTATAAGAATTAAGAACGGCAGCAAAATCATGTCTGTTGTATGAGATCCTCCTTAAATATTTATTTTATTTTATTATTAGTATTTGTTGTTGTAGTGGCGTTAGAAAAACGTCATCTGTAGAAATTTGAACCGTCTGTCACGGTTTATGAGTTACAGCCTGGTGACAGACGGACGGACGGACAGCGAAGTCTTAGTAATAGGGTCCCTTTTACCCTTTCGGTACGGAACCCTAAAAACACTTTATACTTCTAGAGAAGAACATGAAAAGAACTGTGTATAACATTAGCATTACGATCGGCGTAACCTTCGACTATATTATCCATATTATAAAAGTTTATATTTTTGAAGGGCGTAACAACATTTTGCAGTAATTGAGGCTATCTGCTTGAAGAAAAAATACAATAATATATACATTTATACTCACATCTTACCATGCTACCCCGTTCTACCACGAATTAAGATATTATTCTATATTTAAGGTATATCTTAATTCGCACGTACGAGCAATCGAGTAATCAAAAAGCGCCCAATATGCTGTTATACTTTCCATACACTCATTACTTGTCTAATATTATTAGGTGTTGAGGTCCATGATAAAAACACAACCCTTGACGCCGAAAAAGTAAATAGGTTAATAAAAGAACCTAATAAATAGGAAAGTAAGTAAACTATCAAGATCAAAGTTTTTCCAAATATCTTCTTAATTATCCTTATAAGGTGATGTTTTTTAAAATCTATTGACTATTATAGAGAAACCATTATTCAAAGTTCGAATTTCAAGTTCATACGTTTTGTCGTTTTTGAGATGAAACAATGATGAATGAGTAGTATTGGTTTTTAAATATATTATAGATTACAAAAATATCTTTAAAATGTTCAGTATAAATTTAGTGTATAGAGGTGTTATAGAACAGTGCCTTATGGTATTTAGGATAACGTTTATCTAAAAAATGATCCATCTCTCTCGTAGATAGTAAATAATCATTGCTAAGCCACTGAAAACATTACAACAAGTTTACAACCCATAAAAGTCGATGAATGATAGAAATATTTCATATTTCAATATTTTTAAAAGTTATATTTAAAATACAGAATATAAAGATGATTATTAATTTTTCATGAACCACACAAAGTTTTACATTTTTTTATAGTTAAATTTTCACTTATGTTCTTATTTTTTCAGCTGTACTGTACTGTATATGAACAAATAATCAAATTCCTCAACCCGCTATTTATATAACAATATCATATTATATTGTAGGTAACCTCCCCCCCCCCCCGCTCTCACGAGTAATAATCGAAAAACAACGAACTTCATTAAACCATAACTTCAAAACCAAGTCTTTTTTAATTTTTAGGTAACAAGAAATATACAATCTATACCCTTGGGCACAATAACAATATGTGATAAGTGAACGATTTTGTAGGTACATGAAAAAGCGAGAGGGAAGAAGCTTTCCAGTGATAGCACCACCTATTTATTTGTTTATTTTTTAAAATTTTTTAAATGTAATTATTTTAAAATAAATCATTCAGTAAATCTCTAAATCAATTTTTTTCCAGTCGCCGTGTGGGATTGCCCAATATTAAAACCAAGCCTGACCGCCAATTTCTGACTTTACTATAGTTTTTCCCATATATAATTAAATAAGTGAGTTTGAGAACAAAATAATACAATAAAATGATAAATAACTAAGTTTCGAAAATTAAAATACCTACACAGTATGTTTATATGTTATGATTAATGGCCGGCCTAGCTGGTGGCCACCGGCTGTAAGTAGTTGGCGACATAATATTTTGGCGGTTGTTTGTATGTTTGAAGTTACAACCAAAAATAAATATAAGGCATTTTACAATCCAAAATATAAAATTTTTGTTTAATAGATAATACAGTATGTAGTTGGATGAATAATTGCAAAGAAGTAATATTTTCAATCAGGTATCAAAAATAATTTAATATTGTATTAACTTTGTTCTGTTATTGTTTTATTTAAAATTCAAATAAATATTATTTTAGATTGTTATTCCATGAAAAGCAAATATCAAAGAGAATATAAAAACATATTTATCATTTTATTAATATGTTTCTAACTTCATATTCAACTGTATTTATGATTTCTCTCGAAAAGTGTTATGGAAATTCTCACGAGGATCGTCTTTCTTATTTAATATTTTTACGGTTTTTGAAGTGCCACCGATCTTGGAAATTCATCTTTATAAGGTTCTGACTAAAATAATTAAGAAAAATGCCGTCGGGTCAACCATTACCGCCCAAAGAAAATTCCTTGTTTAAACGAATTCTAGTAAGTATTATATAAATTTTCTATTAGATAAACAAGGTTTCATCGTAATATATGTAGGTATATTTTTTTCTTTTAACTTTTCTCAAATTGTTTTTTTTTTTTTTGTGTTTGTATACCTTATTACTTATTTTAGTTATACTGAATATACTTTAAAGGGTAATTTGTACCTTGTTTTATTTTATTTTAGAGATGCTACGAACAGAAACAATATAAAAATGGACTTAAATTTGCAAAACAGATTTTGTCGCATCCAAAGTTTTCCGAACATGGAGGTAAATTATATTTCATGTAATTTTTCGTATAATTTATTTAACACATTTCTTATATGATTTGCTCAGAAACTTTGGCTATGAAAGGACTTACTTTAAATTTTCTTGGCCGAAAAGATGAGGCATATGAGCATGTTCGACGGGGACTTCGTAATGATCTCACTTCACATGTTTGCTGGCATGTTTATGGTTTATTGCAAAGATCAGATAAGAAGTTAGTTTAAACTATGGTTTAAGTATTTTTTTGTTAATCAAGTGTGAATGGTATGTAATTTATTATCTAAATGTTTTTTAGGTATGATGAAGCTATTAAATGTTATAGAAATGCATTGAAATGGGAAAAAGACAATATTCAAATTTTACGAGATTTGTCACTGCTACAAATTCAAATGAGAGATTTGGAAGGATATCGAGTAAATAAAATAATTATGCATACATTTTTAATGCTTAGTTTATTTTAATTAATTTGTTTTGGAACATTGGTTGATAATGTTTTCAATTGTTGTTTAATTTTAAATTTGAAGAAGAATTTTTTGTTTTAAGTTTATTAACACATTGACTGCCCTGTCTACTGACTATCAGTGTTCATATGATATGTATTATTGGTACGCCAAGCTTATTATTCAGTGTCATTCCAAATTTGTATATACTATTGTGTATGAAAAAACATTCAAAAATAATGTCATCATTATTACATCCAAAAAATTGTAATGATTCCTGATATGCTACCGTGCTTTTTTAGTGCTTTATTGTAACGCCATGGATAAGTTGACAATATAAAACCATGTTCATTTACGGTTGCTAGCAGTCATGTGTAGTAATGATAAATTATGGACACCAGCAGTCACAAACTTATACAATTTGAGAATTTCAAATGACTGTTGGCAGTTGCATGGCAGTCTACGTGTTAAAAATTTCCGATGAGTACTATAATATCAAAAATTGCATATATATATATATATTCATTGATTAAGTAATGTTTAATTATCGTTATGCTGTAAGGAAAGTCGCTCTACTGTACATCAGGTTTTTCAGTGCTCTTGTGCTATTCAACTTATTTTTCTAAATATAAAAACCTATTTATGTACTGTTTTTTTTTCAAGTCAATTTGATTTTACTACTATTGAGCTTTGGCACTCTAATTAAAATAGAAATTGAAATTTCCAAATAGAACCATTATTACAATAATATGTTTAGAATTTTAGATCCATTAATTTAGTTTGTTTATTTTTGTTATATGTTCTGAATATTAATTAATACATTTTATCTTACTTTTTAAGTAATTTATTAAGACTACAATTACAACAATAATAATTATAGGCATAGGCGTGTCCAGACCTCCATGGCTGGGGAGGCCAGTTATAAAATTTAAATTTTTTTACATATTACAGCGATCTATAATATATATCTATATTTGTATCTTATTTTTGTTGTATGAAAATTATACGTATAGCACCTGGAATTTTTTCACCCCGCCAAATTAAAGATTTTCTTGATCTTAAAATTGGTTTTCTTATATGCTATTACAACTATGAACCAATAAATAAGGCCTATTAAAGTATTAACTAATGTGCTACCTACTTAGTTTTTTTTTATAAATATTTTATCAACTATAGGACAGGTAGTAGGTACATCAACCTTCTCTATACATCTTATTACAGTTACTACACAATAAACAATACACATAAAACAGTTATTTATTAGTTTGGTTAAACAAGTAATTTATTAAAATATTACAACTAATAAAATCCAATAAATTTACAATTCCATTCGCCTACTAACTGGTTTTAGTATTTTAAAATGTTCAATGACATCATCAATATTTATATTGTAGGCAGACTCCTGTTCAATACTTATTGTTAATAATGCATCCAACCGGTCTTGCTGCATTGTGCTCCTAAGTTTTGTTTTAATAAACAAAAAGCTCTGTCTAATTTCACACTGTACTCAAGCCAATTGAATAATTCATACCAAGATTTATTAAAGCACCGAAATCTGTCTCCAAACTTTGTTCGTGGATACAATTTAAGTTTGGGTTGAAATGGGCCTCGAACAACCCTATCTTTACGTTCTAACTGGGATATCGGTAATAAATTAGCAGGATCATCAGGATTATCAGGATCTAAAATTTTTAGAATTCATGCATAAGATAAACAATTTAAATTTAGTACATTATACTTGATTTGATCATTTAGTGTTTAAAATTTTAAAACTTGTTTTCTTAATAAATTTATTACATAAATAACAACATTTAAATAATATGAAGTATATTATATACAAACATAAATATACAACATTGATCAACACAAATATTATCAGTTAGGTATAACTAATGTAACTAATTAGTAATAAAGTTTATTGATTAATGGTTACTACAAAAGTAAAAAATTACAATATTTATTTACCTAATATACATAATAACAATTTTGAAACATTGAACACAAACAGTTAACCCAACATAGAACATAGACAAAATAACAAATTACAAAACTACGATTTAAATACCGATTATAGACTATAATATTATAGTCACTATAATATAGTCCGTGATTATTACGTAACCAATCTATAGACGAAAACTTTATTGACATTGATAACATTTCTTATCGATCAATTACTGCTTCAGCCACGGATATACTATACTTATAAATATAATCTATAATATATTCTATTATATTCGTGGTTTCACCATTATAATCCAAGAGGCCAAGAACGTCGCTGGGGAGGCCGGTGCCCACCCTGCCTCCCCCGTAGACACGCCTATGATTATAGGGACTTGAATTTATATACTAACAGCGTATAAATAAATCAAATAAGATTTGTGTATAGTTACATTTTGCTTGACTCGTTCAATTTAAATTTTAGTGCCATAGTTGTTAAGTCAAAATTGCTTGAAAAAAATAGCCACCTGAAAATTATATTTTTAAATGCTTTTGCTGTTCTAAAATATATAAGTTTATGCTCATATACTGAGAGGTGACAATATGATGTATTCTTAGAAATGTGGATTTAGGTTACTCCTAAATTCTTAAAAAATTCTTTGTTCAGTTCAACTGCATAACCAGCGCAATATTTGAGTGTTTCTTAAATTGGTGAGCATACTGTATATTAAAGGAAATAGTTATGTTATTTGCTTAAATTTCCTTATTAGTATATTATTATTATTAATTACTGCTAGTTTTCATTAATATCTGTACAACACATTTTAATTGGCTCTTCATGATTAGAACACATCTGTTTGCAATTAGTAATTAGTAATTACTCAACTTGAAATAATATATTTATAACTACTGAATATATTATTCAAGGGTTAACTAAATTTTTTTTTTTTTAAGTCCGGGAACTATGGCCATTAGCTGTTAGTAGGGTAATTGTGGTAGTGGTAGGGTTTGGTATGATAGGTTTTTAACAAGTGTGTTTTGTTTTTGGCATAATTTCTAGTGGGCACTCGTAGGTTTCTGCCATGCCCGGGGGGGGGGGGGGGGTAGAGGCCACTCTCTCCAGACACCATGACTGCCCAGAGAAAAGTGCCAACGTGATTGAGGTTCGAACCATCAATGGTGCGCATTGCAACCGACGCATTATCCACTCGGCCACTTCGTCCCCCTTAACTAAATTTATTAATGTTGCAAGTCCATGTTTTGGTGATTTACATACATAAAAAAATTTAATTTTTGTTGCTTCATATAGTGTTTTTACGCATTTTTATAATTATGAAGTATTTAATTTTCAAAAGAACTACTTTTTATTTAGTTGTTAATTATAAAAACAATTAATGTGATAGACAAATAAGAGATACAACTAAGTTCTTGTATCAATTTATCTAATAATAGATGTTAAGCCATTTATGTTTTGTTATAGTTATTAAAAGTTACATTAGAAATATTTTGTAGACAGTAGGAAAGTTAATAAGTGAATAATCACTACTTTTCAGTAAACAATAAAAGTTTTTAATTCATTATTGATCATAATGTCTTTTATTTTTTCATTATTTATAACTAGTTTAAGATATTAAATAATACAATTGTTTTTATTTTACTTAGAAAAACTAGGTTAACACTTTTATCTACTATATACCAAAATTATCTAAAAATTGCTAACATTTCCCTCTTTTCTTTTACTTTAGCATATAACTAAATATCATAAACTTTATGTATCGTTGACAAAACATTTGGAACTATAAATTACTTTTGAATAAAAACTATGAAGACATTTTTATTTTGTTTTACATTAGTATTTATTGCTGTGTGGTGTCTTAAATAATTTACAGTAAGGTTTTAGTATTATGGTGATACCGCGTACCACTACACGTACCAATGTATCTTAAATTATATAATTTTTCTCTAAGGACACAAGATATCAACTGTTCATGTTGCGGCCAACTCAAAGGGCGTCGTGGATAGGTTATGCTATGGCATATCATCTATTAAACGATCATGATATGGCTTTGAAAATTTTGGAAACCTTTAGGAAAACCCAAATGGTTTCTGTAAGTTATTATTTTTATTATTTCTACATAAATTAAACATAATAAAATAGATGCTTAATTATGGTTTGCTTATGAAAAATATTAGAACTTATCTAATTTTTGTATTTAGGCTCCATTTGATTTTGAGTATAGCGAACTTCTTTTGTATCAAAATATGGTTATTCAAGAATCCGGTGGAGTATTGGATGCCATCAAACATTTAGATATGTATAAAGAAAATATTTTTGATAAATTAACAGTCTTAGAGATTTATGGTAAGTTATAAATTCCATTTTTCTGATTTATATTTTATTTGATTACAAGACTTAACATATATTTTGATTTATATTATATAATAGTTTTTAGATTTCAAGTTTATAATTTATGCTTTATTTTAGGTTCATTATACTTACAAATGGGAGAATATCATTTAGCTACATTGTGTTATGAAAAATTACTACGAAGAAACCAAGAAAATACACCTTACTATTTAATGATTAAAGAAGCTAAGCAACTGCATAATGATGAATGTGTTTATAATATGCTATGTGGTTATCGGAAAAAGTTTCCTAAAGCATTGGCTCCTAAACGATTATGTTTAACTTTTGCAACAGGTATGGTAATTGTTCTAGCCATCAAAACTCTTTAGTAATTATTTATGGCTTTAAATTTAGGAAATGCATTCCAAAGTGAAGTTGATTCATACTTAAGAGCTGGTTTCCATAAAGGTGTTCCACCGTTATTTGTAGATTTACGGTCTTTATATAAGAATAAACATAAAGTACAAATAATAGAAAGTCTATTGGAGTTGTATGTAAATAATTTGACAAAGTTCAGTTCATTTGATAGTGAAGGTATGGTATAATTTTTCTTAATACATAAACTATGATAGTAAATTTATTTTTATTGAAGTTGAGAATGCAAAGTTGAATTGTGTTTTTATCTTGTATTTAAAGTTTTTTCTCGAATAATTTAAATCTCAGGAATGGTACTACAAACTTCTTAAATTTGTCCATTCAAAGTTTATATAAAGGCAGATTTTAAGGTCAACCTATCCCTAGATAAAAAAATTATCATACATAATAATATGATATGATTCATATTTAAGCTTGACCATTTTTAATTGATTAATTCTTGTTTATGTATAATATATCATATCAGCATGTTTGTTTATTTTAGATACTTCTTGTAAAGAACCTGCTTCTGCATTGTTGTGGGTCTATCACTATTTGGCTCAACATTATGATTACCTGGATGATATACAAAAGGCATTAACTTACATTGATATGGCAATTGCACACACACCAACTTTAATTGAATTATTTGTCACAAAAGGAAGAATATTTAAAGTATTACATTTTTGTAGTTAAAATATTTTTATGTATTTACACTATGCACTATACAATTATTCAACAAATTTGTGTTAATTAGCATGCTGGTGATGCTTATGAAGCATATAAATGGCTAGATGAAGCACAAGGCTTGGACACAGCTGATAGATATATTAATTCAAAATGTGCAAAATACATGTTGCGTGCAAATCTTATTAAGGAGGCAGAAGAAACATGCTCCAAGTTTACAAGGGTAAGACTGTTGTTAATATTTTTTTAGTTTATACCATGAATAAACACTTCTGACAAATACTTGGAGCCCATTATGTTATTTAGTTTTATTTTTAAAATATTATTAGTATTCATTTTTAAAATTTCTTTTTTGATTATTTGTGCTTTGTTTTCTATAATTAGGTTATTAAGAAGACACCAACGCACTAATTTTTATTATTTAATTAAGTTATGATTATTTTAAAATAATATGTTTAAAAATGGTCATAACTTGTTTCTTAATAAAAATAGCAATAAAAGTCTCCTAGATAATCTTACCTTAAAATTGTATAATAGGTTAATTCACTCTAATTTTATAATAACAGTAAAATGGATTATTGTTAACATCAAATTTGGTATATTGAATGCTTGTTAGACGGAGACAACATATGTGGGTGTGGCGATCTCTTAATGACAATTTTTTTTATGTATAAGGTCGTTATTAATATAGATTGTTTTTGTTATTAAAATTTAAACTACTTTATAACATTTTAGTGCATTATGTACAAATATACAATGTATTATCAAACTTCATAAAATATTTCAGAAAAATTATTAAATAATATTTAATAGCTGAATTCTAGTATTTTCCCATATTATTTTGATTAGTTAATTTGGTCTACTGAAAACTTCAGTAAAGCTTTATCTTAAAATGCTAAAATAGTAACCAATGTATGTCCTTTTTTTAAACCTTTTTTGTAGCCCGTGCAATTACTTAAATACTATCATTTATTTTATTTTTTTAATTGATATTTTACAGGAAGGTGTTTCGCCTATGGAAAATTTAAACGAGATGCAATGTATGTGGTTCCAAACTGAGTGTGCATTGGCCTATCAGCGGCTAGGAAAATGGGGTGAAAGCTTGAAAAAATGTCATGAAGTCGATAGGGTAAAATATTATTTTATTTATTTATACAGATATGAATTGATATTTATTCTGAGCTTGTATAGTTCTATAGAATATTAAATACTATTATTCTATTAACACATACATTATCTTGATCAAATTATTTTACTAATAATTGTATTCCGATTGTATTTAATTTTATAGCATTTTACTGAGATTATTGACGACCAATTTGATTTTCATACATACTGCATGCGTAAAATGACTCTAAGGTCATATGTGAATTTATTAAGGCTCGAAGATGTATTACGTTCTCATCCATTTTACTTCAGAGTGGCACGATGTGCAATACAAGTATACTTACATATTCATGATAAACCTCCGACTGATGCATCATCTAGTAATGAATTGGATACAGGTGAGTTTTTTGTTAATCACCTAATTGTTATTTTCAATAAATATATTTATATATTGAATTGGTATAATATTTCTTATAAGTTTTAATAACTCATATTTTGATTAGAATAATTCATTAAAAATGTATGTCAGTAGTTTGGATATAGATATATTTTTTTGTTTATTTTCCTAATCAATATCATTTATGATGTTGCTATAACAATTATTTATCATGAAATTTCTTCTTCTTTTTCTGTTATTTCTACTCTCCAAGAGTTTTTGCTGCCATTACTACACTTCGCTACTTATCTCTATTTTGGGCTGTCTCTCTCCAATCCTCAACTTCAAGGATTTGTAAGTCTCCTCTACCACATCAATCCATCTTTTCCTAGGTCTTTTACCATGTGGTTTCCATTCCAAAGCTACTCTAACTACTTCGTTCTCTCGTATTCTCACTATGTGACCTAACCATTGTATTCTTTGGCCCTTAATGAAGTTTGTTACTGGTGTTAGTTCCAACATATCGTTCAGCTTTCTGTTGTACCTTATCATAAAATTTAGTTGAGTTAAAGGACTATAACTTAAACAAGTTATTCATTATTTTATAAAAACATAGTTTCCAAAAATTATTCTTTTTAATGAATAAAATCTTAAATATTAAAAATGAAATGACAGATTTTTCTTCATGGTTAACCTCATCCAATAATCATGTTTTCTAAATAATTTACTGCGCAAAGCAGAGTGCAAAATCTTGAAGTATTGCAGGTGCATCAAACAGGAATCCTTAAGTTAATTAGTGCAAAATTATATGAATATGAATATGTATATATCATAATAATGCATTAATTTAAACTTAAAATTACAAAGTATAAATAAAAATAAAGTATAAATTACACTAAAACAATTTTTAGTACCAAAATTATTATTTATTGAAGGTTACCATATTTTCACTCAATAATAAAAATTCAGTTTTTTTAGTAGTACAGTCTTTTAAACGTTCCCTAATTTTGTGATGAGTTCAAATCTGTATTTATTTCTGTCAATTTTTGTTGATTTTTATAATAAACAAAAAATATAGAACCTTAATAAAATAATATATTCTTGTATGTCCATTGGTATCTGGAGATTAAAGTCTGAACATGTATTACACACCTTATACACATTGATCAAGACATCAAGTACCAGTGGTACTTTTATAAAAATAAATGACCCATATCCATTAATTGTTTTATTTTTAAAGTACACAATGTTAGTGTACTCTATTCTCAATTTATATTTATAGAAATATGATTTTCATGGTATAAAAACATTTATATTTACATTTAAGATGCGAAAGTTAAACTGTACCAGTAAATTTAGTACACATTTTAATTATTCAAATTAAAATCTATTTACATAATGTTAGTAAAAATGAAGACTTATTTTACATCAATAGCTTAGAAAAAATAAATTTATTTTGTAAGTAGTAATTATTAACAATAGTATTTAAAAAAATACATTTTAATACTGAGGTACTGCACAGTTTAAAATATAAAAGAATCAGTATTTTCATTTTTGTATCACAAAAATATTTGGTAATTGTTTGTTATAATCCTGCCCCTAGGTGACCTTATGTCAACTGACTTAAGCCTTAAATTTTGATACTCATGAATCGATGATCAGTATATTTCTGTATCTCAATATTTTACATGTACCTACATGTCTAGTATGCGATCTATTTATTGAAAATGGTAAATAATTTTTATAATATTTGAAATAGTATTTTATTATGTTACAAACTTATAATCCGGTAAGCATTTTGTCGGCTTGTCGCTACATTGTGGATGTGTGTAATTTCAAGTGAATGCTTATTAAAAAATAATGTTATTCGTTTACTTTGAAATATTGTTAAAAAGTAATTTGTAAGGAGTTATTTCATAGCATATTTAAACAGGCATTCTATTTTTAGAATAAAAAAATGAGTGAAATTTAAGGGTTTTTAGAAAATTAACTTTTTTATTTTTATTTTTTTTACCACTAATTATGAAATA